TCTTGGTAAGGTGTTTCAAGTTTGTTCAGCTGTGATGCACACCAGAGGGAAGACCCAGGAAAGATTATATTGCTTGGCTTGCTTGGGATTTCCTCAGACATCTCTGCTTAGACTGGCACTGACATAACCTGGATGGACCCAGATAAGCAGCAGAAAATGTATGTATGTATGTATAAATTAGAGCTATAGTGTTATCACAGCACTTGTAGCTTAAAAATTAGAGTAACCACTAAGCCACGAAGGTTGGATAAATGTTGGATAAATCAAAATGGGAGTCAAAATGGGAGTCAAAATGTGCGCAAACGTGACTACTCTTGAAAAAGAGCAGTCGGCTTTTCAAAGGAGTAATCCTGTTGCAAGTTTAAAAAAAACCTAGTGAACAGCCGGCATCTCTTTAAATCTTGCGTTCGGAAACGAGTACGTCTCTCCCCTTCAGCGGGGCTGTCGGGATGACTTTCAGTGAGATGTGTAACCCCGGACAGCACCAGTGAGTCCTTTCCAGCCACATCAAATCACAACGAGCCTGACAGGAACAGAGAGTAATGGAGAAATAGTAATATTCAACGTGAACATAATGTGTTTTTATGAGCCCCAGTCCTCAGGCGGGAGTCGAACTTTGTCAAAATTGTCTCCTACACTGAAATACCAGCCGGCTAAGTATAGGTTGAGTGGTGTGTGTGTTTTTGTGTCGCACTGTGCGGTGTGACGGACGGATGTGTGGTTGCCACATAAATAGAACATGCTGAACACCTTCAGGAATGCTGATGGTAAAAGAGAGAGGCAGTGAGAGGAAGCGAAAGCATCAGGGAGACAAGGGAGAGTCAGAGAGGGAAAGGAGGCATTACAGGAATGAGTGTGATGAGAGAAAACAAGACATTCAAGTCTAGGTATTCTAACCAAGCACCATCTGCCGCTCATATTAGGTAACAAAATCAAAAAAGCCTTCTTTCTCGACCAGATCTTCTGTTTGAGCCATCTAGGATGTCTGCCTGGTCCTATCACAAACTCTGCATTGGTATCTGCATCATTAGAGCTAATTAAAACTACTATAATCAATAGTCTTTTTTTATCTTGGCTGAAGATTACATGACTGCTTCTGTGTGTTTAAGATAATCAGCTGAGCTGCAGAGCTTTGTATCACATTGTAGGTAGTTGTTTTGATTTGACAGCATACATTTTTATCCACTCATAGCACTGTTTTCAGCTGCAGCAGGGAGCTGTTTATTAGCATAAAATCTCTAAAAACCCAGCTCGACACTACTTACTAGTCACTAACTGCTAGACAGCAATGCTAGTAATTATATGGTAAATATCCTGGAGCCTTTAGCATCTAAAAACCCTTCTGTTTCCGTCAGAAACTGGTGTAAAACAGCCAGAAATGGTGAGGATTGGATATGTATTTATCAGCTAGGGAAAAGTAAAATTTTGATATGAAGTATAACATTGTTCTGTAGGTCTTACATATCTTGTTGTCTCCTAACAAGTTAACTTTAGTGAAGTGTAGTTATACTGTTATTGTATAGAAAGCTTCTTTATTTTACTGAAAATGCCCAAAAGTTATTTATTTGTCTGGGATTAGATTTTGACTTACACATTGATCTGTGGTTATTTTGTAATACAAAAATAGCTGGG